GTGGCTGGCTGGGGAATTCTGGGAGTTGAAGCCCACTCATCTTAAAGTGGCCAAGTTTGGACAACACTGGTTTAGGGGGAGAGAGAGAAATGTCTCTGTTGGCCATCAGGTGCAGCTCTGGTGGAGCTCTCCAGAGTTTGTTGAGACAAACATTCCTGATGGCTGAATGGGAGACAGATGTATCTACACAGTGAAGCACCCTCCTTGGAGAAATGAGTCACATAATTCCAGTGGGAACAAATGGGTGTTTGAAGCTCCCTCTGTTAAGTCATAGAGTGGGAAACCATTTTGTTTCTCCTCAGTCACAAGTCAGGAAGTGCTTTATAGTAAGTCAAGATCACATCACTCTCCTGATGTTCTACACATTTCCCAGCATATAAAGCAACATTTCTTACAAGAAGAATAAAAAAAAGGAGCCAATGGCAGAAGGATAACGTGCTGGTGGTGTGACTTGGTGGGGTTGGGAGGTTTGGGGAACTATCTGAAGCTCAGTAAACGTCATACTCCACTTTTTGTCTGTCTTAACAGCAAATGACAGTGCTTGCCTGGCCTCACCCAGACTAAGCCAGGTTGGGCTTGCTTAACCCTTGGATGGGAAACTACCAGCTCTAGGCTATCTTGGGAAGTCAAAAGACATTTCAGAAGGCAGCGGAGGCCATCCCCTTCCATATTGCTGCCGAGAAATCTCCATAGCTATATCTACAAAGTTATCAGGAGTTGCACTCAACCCAGAGAATTCAATTTTACCTTTTATTTATTTTCTGACTGCCCCCCCCCCACACCTGAAAAACTGCAGGAAATCATGCTGCCATTTCTCAATTGTTTGCTGTTGAAATAGGCGATACAATTTTGGGGTGCAAATAGGATGTTGGCAGGTGGGCCATCGGCTGCTGCTATGGGGTTAAACTACAGAATACCGCCACCTGCTGGCAGATTGAAAAAGCACACACAACCTCCTTCAGTACAGTATATAGCTTGCTTATTTGTTTATTTAGAAAATGTATATGGCTGCCCACAACCTCCTTCAGTGGTTTATTTATTTATTTATTTATTTAGAAAATGTATATGGCTGCCCAACTCTCACACAGTGACTCCGGGTGGCTTACAAAGTAGAATCCCCAATACAGAAACCCATCAACACCCACCCCCTGCGGCAGGATGTTTCTATAGTAGAAAGTTTGTTGCTGGATTCATTCATTCATTTGTGATATTTATCAAACATGGGCTTCTGGCAAGGCAGACCCCATCAGCCTAGGCAATCACTGTTTCTGTAAGGATGGAAGTTAGCACTGAGGGGCTCCTAATTAGCTGCTAGGCAAGCTTTTAGGCTCTGTGGAGCATTGCTGAGCAAGAGGAACCATAAATCCTATGTTTACATTGCAATGGATTTAGGGAAGCTTCCATTGTACTCTTGACACCTCCCCTTCACTAGCTTGACTTTAGCCTAACTTAAGTAAGTCAGGGAAATATTGATGTCCCAGCAACTTAAACCAGGACATGCAAAGAGGTTCTCCATACCCTCCTCAAAGCTTTGGCTGAGTTAAAGTTCTGTCTTCTTTCCTCTTCCATTCTGCCTCATTCAGTGCAAAGGTTCAGCGTAGTTCCCTGGGAACAATCCCTCCGCATCACTTGTCACACCCTCATACCAGCCATTTGAGTGTTTCCGTGTCACATAAATAACAGCCCCTTCTGTAAATGAGAGTTCATCCTCCTTCTGCTGAACGTAAGGATAGACAGTCACAACTGAAAACAAGAGAAGGGAAAAATAGAGCCAGATAATGGAACTAATAAAAAGTCAACTACCTCCATCCTTGAGGTGACCCGAGGGATGGTAGAGAGAGAGAATGCAAGGGAGGGGGTGCAATCAAGTAGATATACACTTATACCATTCGCTGCCAGAGCCAGCCAAGTCCATTGAGGCAAACAGGATAGAACAGCATAGACTGGCTGCTATTAAAAATGCCAGGATGGAAAAGATTGCTTATTTAATTAATATGGGAGATAGTCCAGAAGATCTCTTCCCTGAGCTTCATTGGAGTTAATAGGAGTTTTGAGAAAGCATCATTTCATTCTCAGCTGATGAGCTGAGAAGTATCTTTTAATGTGTAGATTGGGTTTTGTCCTGTGTGCTCCATAATGAACCATTACTGGCAGGGGATAATGTGTCATGGCAACAGAAATGCCTTCCAGGTGTCTTTGGTGTCTTGGCATTTCAACATCTAGGGCTAGGAGGTAGAAATCAAACAGAGCTGAGACAGCTTTCAGCAGTTCTCACATTTTTTACTAAGGTACCTTTCTCCAGATAGGTGTCTGGTGCCCATGGCAATTTCTCTGGGGGTGGTGGAGGTGGCAGAAGGGGAGGCTTCCGCTGACCACAATTAGAGATGTCCAGGGATGGTGGTAGAAGACAAGATGGAAAACCAAGATCTGCAAACAAATATGGTGGCTGCTTCACAAACAAGCAAATCAACTGTCTCATTTGCTTGCTGTTCTGCAGTTGAACATTTATACCAAGCCATGGTTTGCTAAATAAACAATTGGGTTCACATAAGTCAATCAAACAAATCATTTTATAGCCTGATGTAATTTATGAATGCAGTCACTATCTGCTAGCCATACCATTCCCAAGAACACTGGATACCACTCGCTTGCTAAGTGAAGTTTACTGATGGGTTATATATGCCAACCCATTAACACCTTGAGACACATTTTCTTAGTGCTGTGAAAAGCTCTTACCTGGCTCAGGATAAGGCAGAGGAGGAACATCATCCGCTTGAACAGGAGGAGGTGGCAAAAAATCTGTTTCAGGAGGTAGAAGAAAATCATCTGCTTCTGGTGGTGGTGGTGGTGGTGGTGGTGGATCTGATTCAGAAAGTACTTTCATACTTGTGCTGTTCAAAGCTTCTGGGAGACTGCTGTGACATTTAAATAAGGAAAAGTTTCAGATGAACGTTTGGTGAAAAAGCAGGGGAAGAGGAGGAAAAGTAGCCATTTCTGAATGCCCCTTGTGTTAAAATAACAGACTGTAAATCTGGAATGGGATAGCTTCAGCTCCCATAATTCATCATCATTGGCTGTGCTATCTCAGCTGATGAGAACTGGAATCCAACAACATCTAGAAGGACATATTTTGCCCATCTCTGCTGTACATAGAAAAGCACCATACAGGAAACAGTCCAAGCTAGCACATGCCCTCCTATTCTTGCTTAGTGATGCTTTGTTTTTTCCTGCGAGCAATTTGTTACATAAAGGGAAGCATTTAAGGACTATAGTCTTGTCTACAGATCAAAGTAGATAGATTTCTATTCATTTAATAAAGGCAGAGATAATAGTTTCTGTATAGCACTCCTAAATTGTAATAAAGGCACAATTTAGAAGTGTTATACAGAAACTATTATCTCTCATCTATCTATATCTATATCTATATCTACATCTATATCTATATCTATCATCACCATAATGGGGAATTTGGGAAGTGCTCCAAAATAATGAAATGACAATTGTTCTCATGTGTGGTGCAAAGCTTATCACATGCTTCAGAACAATTCTTTGCTTTTTTCAATATGGAATAACAAAAGATCTTTGACTCTACAAGTTGTCTTAAAGTTCCTGTAACACAAAACCTTACTTTTCAGTTATGTGTAATCACTTTAATAGTAATCACTTTCCCCCTGAGGTTGTTCTTTACATCTCTACTCTGCGCTTGGGGGGTCTTACAAAAGGTACCTCATGGATGGCAAAGATGAAGCTGATGAGAGTTGGCTTTCTGGGATGAATGGTGGCTGTATTGCTTCCAGGACCCAGTGGTTTCTTCTAAAATAAAAGAAAAAAGTAATGTCTGGATTTTCTACACTTACATCAGTGCAACTTTCTCTTAAGAATTGCTTCTCAAAAAGTCTTATTTTAAACAGAAGCTTTAAAGGCTGTTAAAATGATAGTTCCATGTATTAATACCCTAACTGTACAAATTCCAGCCCCCAAAAGCTTTTTTTCTCATTTCTGACATCATCATCACCACCACATCCCATGTGACTTTTCGAGGCCACTTTTTAAAGCATCTCTTCCCCTTTGTCATTTGCAAAAAACTCTTCTCTGCCAGAACCCAAAGACCTGAGAATTCTTGCATTTTGACTGAGTGGTTCATATAACAGAAACAGATGACTCATTTAATAGCCACAGGCAACCACATCAATTCATTCCACTGTCAGAATGAACAACAGAAGCTCTGGCGGTGCCCAGTAGATCATTTTATTATCACGTAAGCTTTCACGGATCACAGTCCACCATTCCATTGACAGCCAGTCTTTCCATGGAATGCTAGATGAGAGATCCCAGGCAGTGAGGAAGACTTTAATGGATCCTGCATCGAGCACTTGACTAGATGACCTCTGAGGTCCTTTCCAACTCTGTGATACTATGATATTATAAAACAGAGTTGCTCAACCTCGGGAGCTTTAAGACGCATGGACTTCAATTCCCAGAATTCCCTAGCCAGCCATGCTGGCTGGGGAATTTTGGGAGTTGAAGTCCACACATCTTAAAGTTCCTGAGGGTGAGAAACACTGTTATAGACAATTCACTGTCTCTAACCTCCCCATTACAGTATACATCTTTCCTTCCCCACCTTCAGTAATGGCTTGCTCAAATCTGTGCTCCATGCATATGATGAAGCAGACCATGATCCTTAAAAACTTATGCGATAGTATATTGTTTAATCTTTGCGATGCAGGAACAACATCCTTCATTGTGTGTGATGTCTGTCACCAGGATGTCATCACAGTTTCTACTGGATGCCTGTGGTTGCAGCACACTGTAACCCACCGATCAGGGCTCCTGTCAATCACATTATTTGCACAATTACATAGCGATGTGTGCCCCACTCGGGTGGTTGCCAGATACACATAGCAGCGAACTACAAGCTGCAGAAGGCTGCGTCTTAGACGAAGGATTTCTTCCTTTTCCAAGGCACTGAGAAGGAAAAGAAGAAGGCCTCTTCTATGAAGCCAGAGCCAACTGCACTTTTTATTAGGATAGTGCAAATCTTCAGGTTCATAGCATTGTACTGAAACAATAAAGTTCCATGCACTATTATAGTAAGCAAAAGCTTAACTAGGCACAACATGAAAGTTCTGTACTTAAAACCAAAAACCACTTACAACATATAATATCTGCTTAGACATCACTATTCTTAAATAAAGTTTTAATTGTGTATGAACAACTAGTCCTCTGAGTAAACAACAGAAGAATAAGAATATCACACCCACCCATCCCCCTGCCTGAGAGACTGGCTACCAGGAAAGGGGCTGATAAGAGAGAATATAACATCAGTATTTCTAACCTTATCATTTTGGGGAGGGGCAGCAAGATCTTAAAGTATGCTATTCTACTTTTGACTAAACATGTTTTTTTTATCCAAAGCATCACTTGACCTGTTGATGCCTATTAAGCATAATTTAAATTATCTTTAAAGTAGTGCCTAATTAATTTTCAAACTACTTTAAATGATTAATCTGAACTATAAGTGGATTAAACTATATAATTCTAATTGAAATAATTTATATATGCTTTGAACTGGTGGGGATAGCAATGTAGCCCAGTCTTTTAAGAAATAGTCTTGACTCTGTCAACAGTGCAGCTGTTCATCAATAAAGAAGATAAGGCACACATTTACATTATATTTGTACATGTTCTCATTTATGTACAGATTTTGAAGGATTTAATTTATATAATTTATAATAATATATTATATTATTATAATTATATTTATATAATTTATATTATATAATTTATAATATAATTTATAATTTAGAATAATTTAGACAGCAATGTAGCTACCCATCTTAGAGGAGTCTGTCCAGATGTTTATCTGCTGGAGACTTCTGCAGCAAGGGTTGAAAATTGTAAGATGGCAGATGGAGCAGCATGATACAAGTCCTGCCCCTGTCACCCACGTGTTCAAAAGGGGCAGGGCTTGCATCATCTTGCTGATGTTAACATCTCCTTGCAGATGTTGCTGGGATCTGCAGAGTTGCTCGCTTCAGATTCCCCTGACTGCTCCCCTTATACTGCTTTGTCTTTAAACTGGATATTATAATTTTTTAAATAGAACACATCCTCAAATAGATGATTGTCCTCTGCAAGTAGGATAGGTGGTCACAGTAGCCCTAACACAGTGGTGGTTTCTTTGCTTGCTCCTGCTATTAACTGATCCATTCTCACCCAAGGTTTCCAGATGACTGCCCAGCCAAGGATTTGATTGATCGCCGGGACAGGGTCCCCGTTCTGGCCAGCTGTGCGCTTTGACCCTAAAGAGAGAGATTAGAAGTACAAGATGAAAAGTCTGCAAGAACAAGTCAGCGCAGCACACAGTCATCTTCCAAAGCAATAGCTGTTTTATCACATAAATTGTGCTCTCCCTCTTTTTGCCAAGAGCTTGCCAAGGGATCCTGCATTTCAGAAACAAATGGCAAATGCAACGTTTTCAGAATTTCTAGACAGAACCACTGATAGTGCTGAACTGCCAGGAAGCAATTAGAAAGCTGCAGATCCTCTGTAAGGTATTGTTAAGAGCCAGGAAGCATTTGGGACTATTAAGATGGGGCTCTTATGTTCATAGAATGTTTGCATGAAGATTCCCCACCACCTCCATCCCCACCAATCATCCCAGAATTTCAGTGCAAGCGGGAAAGCAGCTTTCAAAACATCATTGGGAGAAGAAGGCGCCAGAGGAAGAGAGACCTTCCTCATCAATAAATTTCTGAAGGAATGTTTTTGTAGGGTCCAGTACTGTACTCTGCTTTATTTACTAATATACAAGTGCAGGCTTTTCTCCAAGATACCAGATCCTCAATCTCTCCTCAGATTCTGCGTCTGAGAGATCTGCATCCAAGTGATGTCCCTGCTCTTCAATGCAGAAGTCTTTTCCATAAATTATTTTTGTCCCAATACCTTCCATCTCACTTGCATCCACATTCCTCAGCTTTTCCCCATGGGGAAATGCTCCGTTAATATGCAAAAGGCAAAGAAGACTGGCCATAAGATCTCTCTGAACATAAGCTCCCATTGGGAGTATTGCTGTTGTCAATGAGTGGATGTGCCACGGTTAAGTCTGGGGGAGATGGGCGGCATATAAATTTAATAAATAAATAAGTACAAAGTGGGGACACAGCCTCATTTATGGGCACCACCCTCACCTCTCTGTTCTGCTGCTTTCCTATTGGTTACATGTGGAGCACAAATGGCCTTTTGAAATTCCCTACCCAGTTCGTAGGCAGAGAAATTGGATGGATGATTTCTCTGAACTTGCCCAGGGAGGGAGAAATCCTCCAAACATTTCTCAAATTCCCCCATAGTGCTGAGACAAGGGCAGGGGAAGCCTCCCTTCAAGATGTCTTTCCCTCGGATAGCAAGCCAATAGACTGAAAACCACTGGAGAGCTGAATGCACAATGAATCCGAAAATTCACACACCCATTAACTAAATATACCCAAGACTAACATGCTGCACTCATAAGAATTCTCTGAATTCTCCCCACTCCTTTGAAAAAAAAATACTAAAACAAATTCCCTTTCACTAACTCGAATGAGAAGTGGTAGGACAAAAAAAAAAAAAAACCAGAACAATTTCTCTGCCCAGCACTATTTTTTTAAGGAGAAGTTTTAAATATTTATTATCATTCG